ACATGTCTCGGACATGTCGTGGACGTGTCCAGGACACGACCGCCTCGAGCCCCGCCTACGCCGCCTTGCGGGCGGCGTCGGAGGCGGCCTGCGCCGCCGCCGCCTCTCGCTCGAGCAAGCCGACTCGCCGCTGCAGCTCGTCCGCCCTTGCCCGCTCGGCCGCACCGCCCTCGCCGTTGCCGTCGTCGCCGCCGTCTCCGCCGTCTCCGCCTCCGCCACCGCCGCCGCTTCCTCCACCGGGCTTGTCGCCGCTACCCATCCCCGCGCCGCCGCGCCGCGCGACGCTTGCCTCCGCGACAGCGACCATCTCGGCCATCACGAGCCGCTGCTGCTCCCGCAGCCGCGTGTGCGCCTAATCTCGGGCCATCTCGGGTCATCTCGGGCCATCTCGGCTCATCTCGGGTCATCTCCCCCTCCGCCGCGTGCGCCAGCTCGTCGCGCAGTTGCTCGACCTCCGCCTCGGCGGCGCGCAGGCGAGCCACCTCCTCGCCGCGCTCTCCCGCCCGCCCGCCGCGCTCACTCTTGCTCGAGCCAGCCTCGCTCGAGCCAGCCTCGCTCGAGCCAGGCGCCCCCGAGCCTGAGCTCGCTGAGCCGCCTGGCCGGGCGTGACGCAGCTCGCCCATCATGTCCGAGACGGCGCTCGTCTTCCAAGCAACCCACCTGCATGTGCGCCGTGTCGGGCGGCTTTGAGCCTCGCCACAGCGGCAGCGGCGCGGCAGCGGTGGTGGCGGCGGTCTCTTCAGTCGCTACTCTCTTCTCGCCGTTAGTGCATGGCATTGGCGCACGGGTTGGCGCTTCCAGATACAACTTGGCTGAGTGTAACTCATCACTTGAGCCTCGGGCTGGCGAGCTGGGGACGGCAGGTGTTGCGATCCGCACCCCTTCTCAGAGAGCGAGTTGCTGTATTCGTGCAGCTCACGCTCCCACTTTGCGAGAGCGCGAGCGCGCTCGTCGGCGGTCGTCGCCCTCTCGACCGCCTCGCGGGCCTTCATCAGGTCGGGTTTGGTCGGGTACGTGAATTCCGGGGCCAGCTTCCGGGGCCAGCCGGGGCCAGCGTTGCGAAGCCGCGCAACCGAAATGGAGAAACGCGCAGCGGCACCCCACCCGCGTTCTCGGAGTAGGCCGGTTGTGACTGTGTGGTGTAGTTTGCAGGCGTGGGTCGGAACAGATATTAAGAACAGAGATGCTGCTCTAGCTCTATACGAGGCTAGTACGGCGCGAAGCGCGCTCCTGCTGCGCCGCCCCGCGCGGCGGCGGAGGGGTCGAGGGCGAGCTCGACCTCCAGCCTAGTGCCGCGCAGCTTGGTGCCATGCATCTTGTCGACGGCCATCTGCGCCGAGCCGACAAAGTCGAAGGTGACCGTCCCGGCCTTTGGCACCGCGGCGCCGGCCGAGTAGCCGCCCCGCTCGAGCGACACGCCAACCACCCTGCCGCAGCCGCCAAACACCTCCCGCACGTCCGCGTCGCTCATCGAGCCGGGGATCCCACGCACACGCACGCTCGCGCCGCCGCCGCCGCCGCCGCCGCGGCCGCCGCCAGCTGACGAGGAGGCGCCGTCGCCGCACGAGACGGCCGCGTCTGGCAGCGGAGGCGGCGGCTCGGGCGGCAGCGGCGGAGGCGGCTCGGAGGGAAGCGGCGGCGCGGGCTCGGCTTGAGGGACGGTCCACTGCGAGGCGCCGGTCGCCGGGTTGGCGTAGTACGTCCCTCCGGTCGTTGGGTCGCTGACGGCGTGCCAGCCCGGAGGGAGGGGCTGCGGCGGCGGGGCGGCCGGCGGAGGGGCGGCCGGCGGGGGGTGCCACTGCGTCGCTCCGCTCGCCGCGTGGACGTAGAAGGGGTAGCCCGACGACGGATCGACCGACGCGGACCAGCCGGGAGGCAGCGGCGTTCCTAGGAGGTTCAAAGAAAGGGTGCAGGGACGGCTCCTTTGAGCCGTCGGCACAACCGAGCCCGGAGGCAGCGGCGCGCCGCTAGCCGCCGGCTGCGCGTGCTGGCTCATGTTGAGGGTCGCCGCCGGGGCGCCGCCGGCGGCGACGAAGGACATCGGCCGCCGCATCCCGCCCGCCGCCACTGCGCCGCCGGAGGACGCGCCGAGGCCGCGCTTGTGCGCCGTCCCTTCGGCCGTCTGGTTTGCGTTGTGCGCATACGCGTCAAAGATCTTGACCTGCGCATCGTCCGCCCCGGCGGAGAGGAGCTGGGAGCGGTCCCACGAAGCCGCCTCCGCCTTTGCCGCGTCCGTCTCCTCGGTGCGCGGCACAAAGCCCGAGCTGAACTCCTGCACGAGCTTCGACTCGCGCGGCTCGTTGCCCTGCTTCTTGCCGACCGTCCTGCGCGGGGCGGCGGCGCGAGCGGTGCGCGGACGCGGTGGAGGTTTAGGAGGTGTGTGGGACGCGCGCCTGCCCATCCACACGCGGGAGCTGGCAAGGCTTTGTGGCCAGAACGCAGACAACGAACTCGCACACGGGCTCCAGCCAAGTGGTTTTTGGGGTGGTGTTGGGAGTGTGAATACCCCACTCGTGTATATAGAGAGATGTCCCTGTTGAGTACTGTCCGATAGTCGAGATGCCTTGTTCCAGAGGGATGTGTCCTGGACGGCGTCTCGTCGTGGTCCTTCAGGACGATAGCTTTGTCCCTTTCAGGACGATGGTGATCTTGGTGTGATCGCTCCTGTACGCCTCGGTACAGACCCTCGCTCCGTGTACAGCTCACAGCTCACTACAGGTGGGGTTCAGAAAGAAAATTTGCGCTGCGAGGCTCGCTAAACGCTCGCCGAGCTCCATGCTGTGCAACACCACCTCCTCACTAATCGTCAGGGGCGCGGAGAGCGCAGGCAAACCTTCCTCCGGCAGATGGGAGGAAGGCAAGGAGCAAATCCATACAGGAGACCACAGTTCGGCGCGATGTTCGGTTGACGAGAGAAGCTCTCGCTCTGCACAATCACCAATTCCTTACTATTATTAATTGATGCTTTTTGCACGGCTGAGCCCCCCCCCCCCCCCCCCGCGCGCCCACTCCCTGCCCTCTCCCGCCACGCACTCCGTCAGAGCCCCCTCCCCTCTTGCACAACAGGAATTTTGACAATTAACAAGATGCCACGTATGAGTGGGCTATGTTCTTTGTGTGTGTACCTTAATAGTACGTCTAGAAGTTGCTATGTCCACGGCTCTTCTGCTGACCTCTGCGCTGGCCGAGCCCCTGCCACGCCCGCCCCTCCTCCCCTCTCTCCCCCCACTCCCCTGCCCGGGCCACACGGGTGATACGGCACACATGACCGCGCCACCTCGCGCGCAGGTGGGGAGGGGCGCAACTCGTAACGAATGGTGGGCTTGCCCACCCCGTGGAGTGGTTCGATCCCACATGAATCCGAGACGGTGACGGGATGCTGGCTCTGTGGTCTCAGGCCCAGTGAGGTAGTGCACGAGACTATCCCGGATCCTGCTGAACAAGCTCCTCTTGTAGCTCGATCGGTCACACCGCCATCGCCGTCGGGGAGAGAGGGGACGACACTGCTTCGGCAGCGTGCACCTCGATCCTGCACCGTGTTTGTTATGACCCCCCCCAATGAACACACCAGTGAGGGAGGGCGAGACGATAGAGGGGTCCCGTACCATGCGGAATCGACCCTATCCAGTGCTCAAGTGCTCAAGATGTCTGGCCGCCCAGAGATAAAACTTCTGATGCCATGCGTGACCTAGTAGTGTCCCCAGCTATGGGCGTGTCCACGTTGGAGCCAGGTGTGGTGCGGACGCGAGAATAGCTTGAGCACTTGAGCACTGGATAGGGTCGATTATCGAGAGGCACGAGGGTCGATTCCGCATGGTACGGGACCCTCCCGAGAATAGCTCCGCCGTTCATGGAGGCAACCGATGCGAGTCGACTGGTGTGTGTCGTCGTGGTTTCGCATCAAGAAACTCACTCACTCACAAAAAGACAGCCTCGCGCTCAGGCCCCTTACACCAAAAAGAAACGCTCGGGCCTAAAAAGAAGGGAAGAAAGAAAATAAATGCTGCGACACATCGCACAAGTGAGCTGCGGCTCTCCTTTCTTTTTGGCGAGAATTCTTTTCTCCTGTCTGCTGTGAGAGAGACTTGTGCCAGTTCGCACCTGTGTCGAGCCTGTCTGCCGTGACGGAGTTCTTTTCTTTGCAGAATTTTCCATGAGACCTCTGGTGCCGGCCTCCAGCCTCCAGCCACATGCTGCTGCCATCACCAAGCCACATGATGCTGCCATCACCAAGCCACATGATGCTAGCACCAGCCACCCCGTCGCTGCATCGCTTCGGCGGCAACCCGGTCGCTTCAACTGCGTCCACCTCCCGTGCGGCGGCGGTGAGGATGTCCGATGTGTCTGATGCGGTCGTCAAGAAGCGCGGCCTCCCGCCGGGCGAGGATCTTCCTGATGGCGCGGCCAAGCCGCCGGTTGTGGGACGTATCGAGGCGCTCGATTTCCTGGGTCTGAGCGACGACGAGAAGCAGTTGTTCCTGGGCTTCACCTTTGCTTACTACCGCGAGGCGGAGCTCAAGCACGGCAGGCTCGCGATGCTCGCGGCCGTCGCGTGGCCGACTCAGGAGATCTTCAACCCGATCCTGACCGACGCCCTCGGCCTGAAGGACGCGCTGGCGGCGTCTGGAGGCGCGTCGCCCTCGCTGCTCAACGGCGGCCTCTTCCAGCTCGAGGTGCTCCCCGCGGTGCTCCTCTTCGCATGGGGCAGCTCCAAGCTCGAGCGGTCGGACTTGGACACGCGCGGCCAGCTCGGGCTCAAATGGAACGAGTACGCAAACGGCTTCGGCTTCTTCGGCCGCACGCCGGGCGACTTCCGCTTCGACCCGCTCAACTTCTACAAGCCGCTCTCGTTCGAGGACAAGGCGGCGGCGCCCATGGCCCTCGCCGCGCGCTAGCGGGGCGGAGGAGCTGAATCGTCCAGTACTAGCCTTTAGGTGGCGGTGCAGGAGCGGGAGCTGCTCAACGGCCGCGTCGCCATGCTCGCCGTGGCGTCGTACGTAGCGACCGAGTTCGTGACGCGCATGCCAGTCGTGAAGGCGACGCCGCTCCTCTTCGAGCCCCTCATCTTCTCGCCGTGGTTTCGCTCCTTCATGGACGCGTCCTTTGGCGCGGCCGGCATGGGCGCGGGGAGGATGTGATAGCTACACTGTCAGCGGTGTGGGTTTCGGTTACCGAAATGGTGCCTCTGTGCGCCACCGCTCTCGCTAAAAGTATTACCCACCCCATAACACCGCGTACGCGCCGCTGTCAGCTCGCACCCTGCCTCCCTGGGGCCGTGGGGCCTGGGCCCCTTAACCCCGCCCAAGCAGCGAAGCTCTCGCCTGGCAGCTACTCCCCAGCCCGGCAGCCCGCTCGCGCGCTCCCCAGCTCGTGGCCGACTCCCCGTCAGCCAGAGGCCCCGCCACCCATCAGCCCACCGCGCCGCTGAACGCGCCCGCGGCGTCGTGGAAGAAGGGCAGGTCGTTGTACAGCGAGAGGGAGACGGGCTTGGGCAAGCGCAGCACATCAGCCAGCCTATTCACGGCCTGAGCTGTGAAGAGACGCGGCCGACACCAGAGGCGAAGAAGGAGGAGTTGCCGCGAGCCTGACGCGCTGCAGCTGTAGGTTGGTCTGGTGCCGCCAGTAGAGGGTGGCGTTCCTGCGGTCGTGTGACGTGCGCTGGGGTGATGAGAACAGTCGAGCCTGGAGTCAGTGAGTGAGTTGCGCGTGCCTGTGGTCGTAGATGTGCCCGTAGTGAGTGTGGTCCGCTCTTCCCTCGCCAAAGCCGCTGTCTGTCCCCATCTGCTCGCCCATCGGGACGGTGATCGAGTTGAGGACATGCAAGGCGTGCTGCACCGCCTCCTACCAGGGGCAGGCCCGCGGCAAGTCCGCGACACACTCCCCACCCCATGCTGCGCACGCCCCACCGCCCTCCTGGTACGAGCGCGGCGTCGGCATCGCAGACTTGAGCAGAAAGATGCGCAGGAAGCGCTCGTCGGGGTAAAAGGCGCCTGCTCAAGCAGAGGCAAGACTAGAAGACTGGGATGAGGACGACAATGACTCGCGGGTCGGGGGAGCAAGCCTGGCACGGTCGTCGCCGGGCGCGCGAGGCTCTGCTTCCACAGAAAGTGCTTCACGTTGGCGACCTGCCACGGGAACGGCGGCTCGTTCGTGAAGACACCTGCTCGCAGCCCGACGAGTGAAGAGGCGCTGCTACACCTCGGGCAGGGCGGCTCCTTCTCAAAAGAGACCGACGCCGCTGGCGCCGTCGTTGGCGTCGTCGTAGAGCCTGACCGCCTCCTCCATAAACTCGACCGCGAGCCCGAGCCTGTCCACAGCTGCAACCGTGAAGAGACGCTGTCCACACGCCCCTCCGTGCGCCCGACCAAACCCGAGCCCCGAGGCGTCGCGGACGATGAAGTGGACTCCGCCGGCCTCCAGCGAGGCCGGGCCCCAGAGGTGCACCTGTCAGAGTGTCGCGGCGAGAGTGGGGATCACACCAATAAAGCAGTTGCTCTGTGTTACTAGCCTAGGACACAACCTGCTCAGCCTCGAGCGCCGCTCGCACCTCCGCCGCGCTCCCGAAGTTGGCCAGCGCCCAGTTGCAGAAGGCGTAGAGCGAGAGGTCCTTCGAGGTGCTCGACGGCCGCGGGTAGGACGAGTTGAGCAGCGCGTGCAGGTCGCAGGAGAGGCCCTGCACGTTAAGCCCGGCGAGTGCGATGCCGTCAGGCAGGCCCGTCGCCTTCTGGATGCCGGCGGAGAAGGCGCCCGTCTCGACCGAGATGATGTGGCCATGAAGAGCCGGCGCCAGGTGATGCTTGAGCGGCAGCGAGCCCTTTGGCACCGTCTTGAGCTCAAACCTGGGTCCGACGCCAAGGTCCATTGTCCTGACGCTCAGGCCATACGCGTCATCCATGATCCAGTCGGAGCAGCCCGACGCGGCGTGCAGCAGGAGGGAAAGCATGGCGTGACAGTCGCTGCGTCGACAGTCGCTGCGTCAGTAGGAGAGAGCGTGTAGCGCGGCTTTGCTTAGCGACACCACGAACGAGGTCGCAGGCCGTTTGTTGTTGGGGTGGTACTGCCCCGCGTTGTTGGGGTGCTTGTCGCGCCGCGTACCTGGTACTGTGCCGTACCAAAGTCTGTGCAGCTGTGAACAGCAGCTCCTGACCACGGCGCCGCAGGCGCCTGTTGATAGGTCCAGGTGATAGCCCTGGATGGGCAATGCATACGCCTCACTGGGCCTCAGATCGCCCGACCGCGTCCCGGTGCTCTGTGGTCGGATTTGTGACGCCGCCGCACCGCGCCGCGGCCGGGGGACCTCCGGAGGCCGAGGATGGCCGTGACGGACCGGGACGAGCTCTGGGAGGTTCAGTGTCAGTGTATATATTGTAGAGACTGACCATGTGCACAATATCTCTCAGTCTAGCTAAGCCTGGGAAGGCGATGCCGGGGCCGTACAGCAGCTTGATGGTGCTTCGCCGGCGTGCGTCCCGGAGCGGTGCCGGACGGGCGGTCCGTGGGAGAAAATCCCGGGACAACGCCGACGGCGCTCTGATTCGACTTTTAACTTCAAACAAAGACAGTGGCACGCGCCACAGCGCGGTGCGTGCCACTGTCAGGAGCGGATCCGTCAGTTAGTTGTGTTCACGCCGGGATCGTGTCCCTGACAAGCTGTACAGACTTTAGCCTGGCACAGTATGGGGAGCGACGGAGGTAGGGGCCCTCGGGGGGGGGGGTAGCACGGGGTAGCACGGACGTGGTGCGACCCCTGCCGACACGTCTGCCATGAGTGCCAGGCAGTGGTCGGGCACGCCGCACGGGTACGCATCCAACGTCAACCCCGCCCAGAAGGCCTTCGAGTGCGCCGTTTGCAAGCAGCATAAGCCGGCCGGCACACCCTGCGTCGGCCACTGCAACCACAACCGAGCGCCATTGCAGACGGGACTCCAGTCTGGGACCGTACCTGTGCAGGAGATTGCACCGCACGTTACATATCGCCGACACACTACACACACACATTAAATTTCTTTGTATGGAGGAAGCCGCCGCGGCTCTCGCCAGCGTGCTGCCGACGTCCGAGGCGCACCTGCACAGCCTCCTCTGTTCGCATGACAAGTTCTTCGCCGCGGTGAGGTGCCGGCTGATTGGCTTGCTGCCAGCGGAGGTGGTCTCCGCGGAGATGGCCTCGCCAGAGCCATCCCACACTGGCTGTACACTGTTATTTTTAATCGGCCGTCCGCGAGCCCCTAGCTCGCTGACGGCGAGAGAGATGCCACGAGGGGTCGCGGTGGCGTCCATCGCTCGAGTCCATCGCCAGGCTCCCTAGCTCAACCGACGACCCTCGTGCCTCGGGGGATCGACGGCCGATCGTCATCAGCCACGAGACGGTGGGTGCAGTGCTCGCGCGTCTGCGGTCGACCGCCGACACCCTCGCCGATGACGGCTGCTGCGGACCACTGCGATTGTTACTCGGCAGAGGCTGTGAACGGCGCCTCTTAACAGGTCGAGCTGTGAATAGCTCACATCGGTGGGACAGCCCGCTCCTCGGTCGCCGTCCATGACCACTGCGTGCTGCCGGCACGCCCGTCGTCTCGTCGTCGCCGCGGCCATAATATTTTATGCTGATGCCGTCGTTCAGCGAGTTCTCGAGAATTATGGCGGCGAGCAGCTCTCGCGGACGTGCTTGTTGCGGCTGCTCCTCTGGCCGTGGTCGACTGCGGCATGCGGCGACGCCGGGTGTTCGGGGAACGAGTGCTGGGAAACCAATTTGCCTGCGCCCTTCCTGGCCACTCTGCGTGCGCTGCCGCCCATTCCGAAGCGGGTGCACGTCTCCTGGCGGAGCAGCGCGCTGCCGCGTCCGTCGCTCTTCTCGCGCGTCACCATCCTCGCACTCATCGACCGGAACCCCGGCTGGTCCGTGACGGTCTACAACGACAGTCAGCTGGATGCCTACCTGCGCGAGGCACTCCCCAAGTACAGCCCGACCGCCTACGACCAGCTCTCGACCCGGTCGCCGACCGAGAAGGTGGACCTGTGGCGGCTCGTGGTCATGTACGAGAAGGGAGGCGTCTACACCGACTACGACCGCTGGGCGCTCACCCCGCTCAGCGAGGCGGTCCCTGCACGCGCGCGGCTGCTGCTGCCAACGTACCGCGACGACAACCCCTCGCAGGTGGTGTGGGCGCATGTAACAAGACTCGGTTGACGAATCAATCACACCTATTCCCGAACCCACACTGTGTGGACCCGGAATACACACATCCCCCCGCCCAGGACTTCATGGCCTCCGCGCCCCGCAACCCGCTCTTCCTCCGAGCAATCCGGCTCAACATCGCCCGCCGCGCCCTCGGCTGGACGAGCATCTACGCGCTCGGGCCGGACACGTACCGAGACGCGGTGGCGGAGGTGCTGCTTGGCGCACACGTGACCCCCGCCTCGGTGGCACCCGCGAGCTACGGCGCGAGGACGCTGCGAGCCGCGGTCGCGCGGGTGGCCGACGGGGTGGTGGCCACGTCGAGGGAGTCGCCTCCGTGCCTCACGGCGACCTCCCGCGTCACCGGCCCTCGCGGAGCCTAGATGCGGAAGACTAGCCGCTTCCGACTGAGGAGACCCGCGCTTGGAGTACCGCGTTCCGATATCTTAGAGAGGGCACGAGTTCGCGCCGTACGTTGCCGTATTGCGCAGCTGTATTCGCCGCCAATTCACACGCGATGGAAGCGAGTATACACGTCTCCCCCCGCCAATCTCCCCGCCAATCTCCCCGCCCACCTTCATCTCGTGGCCGCAGGCCTCGCGTGCGCTCTGCTGTGGCCGCTGTGGAGGCGCTCCAAGAAGGCCGAGTATGCTCGCAGCGGGGTGCGCCACTGGACGCAGAGCGCATCCCCGCAGCCGGCCACTTCTCAGCCGGCCGCCGCGCAGCCATCCTCCGACCGCGCCGCCGTCCGCGAGCCGCGGTGGCGGTGTGGTCCGACCTGAGCAAGGGGGGGCGCACGTCGTCGAGGGACATGTCAGGGACGTGTCATGGACACGTCTAGGTGGTCCGACCTGAGCAAGGGGCACGTCGTCGAGGACCCGGCCAAGGCGTGTGCGCAGGCGTGGCCGACGACGCGCCTCTTTTGGCTGGTGGCGCTCGCGCGCGCCGCCGACCGCGCCGTGCTCCCCCTCGCGTGCGGCGCGTCGGCCGCATTCCGAGAGGAGGCATACCTCCCCGTGCCGCGCGGGGGGGCGCTGCTCTTCGTGCGCTCCAGGCACTTGGTCCGGTGGGTGGAGGCCGTCCTGCCGGCGATCGGCAACGCGACGCCGTTTGTCCTTGCGACGGGCGACCCCGAGTCGACCGACTATTTGCTGCCCGAGGGCGTGCTGTCACCGGCGCTGGTGCGGCGCATCCTCGCCCACCCGAGCCTGCGCGGCTGGTGGGCGACGAACGCCAACCACCCTCGCGTGCACCGCCTGCCTCTCGGCATCGACTTCCACAGCTCCGCGCTGTCCGGCCGCGTGCAGCCCGACCTGAAGGTGCAGCACTTGCTGCGGCCCCGCTCCCTGTACTCGCCGCAGGAGATGCCGGACGCGCAGGAGGAGAAGCTGCTCGCCGTCTCGCGCGCGCTGCCCGCGCCGCACGATCGGCCCCGCCACCTCGCATGGGCGGACTTCCACTTTGAGCGGCGGAACAGCGCGCGGAGGGCCATCTTCCACCGGGTCAAAGGCGAGCCGTGGCTGGTCGTGCCGCAGCGGCGCGTCCGCCGCGCGGAGCTGTGGGAGCAGAAGGGGCGCTACCTCTTTGACCTGAGTCCGCCGGGGCACGGGCCAGACTGCTTCCGCACGTGGGAGTCGCTCGCCCTCGGCATGATTGTGATCGTCGAGCGCGGCCCGCTCGGCGTTAGCGTGGACGGCGACGGAGGGCTGTACGCGGGGCTGCCCGTAGTGCAGGTGGCGAACATGTCGACCGACGTCAACGCCACGGCGTTGCGCGCGTGGGCGGCGGCGCACGCCACGCGCGACGGGGGGAAGGGGCCCCGCGCGTCGGCGGTGCCGGATCGCCTCAAGCTGTCTCACTGGGTGCGGGCGATGCGCAGGGCGGCGCGAGGAGCTAGCTAGAGAGACATGCTAGAGGAGACATGAGAGGGATCGGGGTTCTCACAATTTCCGGGGCTTGGGCGGCCTGCGCTGCTGCGCTGGGGCGTTCGCAACTCGCATGATGTTCTCTTGGTCTTTGCTCTTGCCGTTGCGGCGATGCGGGTGTCCGGGTGTTGTGCGGAGATCCGTCCGCATTCCGCGCTCAGTCCTCAGACCTCTCAGTCTCCGCCGGGCCAGTGCTTGCACTTTGAATGCCGTGGGGCTCAGACCCGCGGCAATGCGCAAGGCGTTCTCATAAAACTCGCAATGACATGACGGGCGTAACGCGAACGCGCGGCTGTATATGGCGCGTGTTCTGCTCGTTCCTCCATCCGTCCAATCCGTCTCGAGAACCCGCTACCTCTCTCAAGCCTTCGGAGCGGCGACGCTCTGCGACTGCGACGTGACGCCCAGCTTTTGCGCCTTGTCGTACAGCGCGTCGACGACGCGCCCCATGTTGTCGAGCGTCTCGAGCGCCTGCGGGTAGGTAGTGTCTGCAGCCGAGTCCTCGTACACGATCAGGCAGCCGGCGCCCGCGTCGAGGATGCCGCGGAACTTCTTGTCGAGGATCATCTGCGAGAGCTTCTCCTCGACCTGCGCGAGTCATCGTTGGTTGTCGGCGCGAGTGTGGGCCGTGGGTCGTGGGCCGTGGCCCGTGGCCGCAGGCGGGCGGGCGGGCGAAAATGGGTGTGGGTGCGTGCGTGAGCTGGCGTGCGTGCTGGCGTGCGTGCGTGCGTGCGTGCGCGTGCGTGCGTGCGCGTGCGTGCGTGCGTGCGTGCGTGCGTGCGCGTGAGTGCGTGCGTGCGTGCGCGTGAGTGCGTGTGTGTGTGTGCGCGCGTGTGCACGTGCCCGCCCGCCGCGCCTTGAGGAGCGGCAAGCTCATCAGCGTCGCGATGTGGGCCGTCTCGACCGTCGAGTACGGCTCGATGATCCGGCAGATGTTCTCCTGCTCCGTGAGTGAGCCAGGAGTGAATACTCGGCCGTGCGCACGGCGCGATGCTACGGCAGAGGCTCTCTCTCTCCTGCAGCAGCATGTCGTACAGCGACGCGAGGTGGCGCTTGATGACCTGAGGAGGTAGGGGCTAGGTGCGGCGACTGCTAGGAGGTAGGGGCTAGGTGCGGCGACTGCTAGGAGGTAGGGGCTAGGTGCGGCGACTGCTCCACACGCAGGGCGAGGCAACTCTGGCAACTCCACGTCCAAAGACAGCAGCCGCATGGCATTGTAAGTGCACGCGCAATGAGGGGGGGGGGGAGGGGGGGGGGACCTTGTCGCCGTCGAGCTCCGCGGCGTGCGCCGCGAGGGCGCGCTCAAAGTCGTGCAGCGACCGCTGCTTGTGCGCCTGTCTCGGGCGCGTGGTCTCGGGTGACCTCGGATCATCTGCTAGTGCGATCTCGGGCGATCTCGACCATGTCTCGGCTATTTCTTGCCTCCGCCACCGCGCTCATCGCCTCGAGCCCCGGCCCCGCGTGCTTTGTCCCCGACTTGCCCGCGATCGTTGCAGCAACCTATTGACATTGATAGAGTCCTGAGCCCAGCTTTCTTGTCACTTCGCGCCTTGCGGCGCGATCGTTGCGGCAACCTCCTCTGGGCTGTTCATCATGATCTTGCAGAGCAGCATGTACCTGCAGGAAGAGACGGCGCGTACCAAGAGGCAGAGCCGCGGGATGCGCCATGCTCTTGCGGAGCTCGCACTTGAGGATCGCCTCTGCGCGCGCGTGGCCGACCGTCTCGAAGTTTTCAAACGACTCGTAAAAGTAGGAGAAGGCCGTCTTGTACTCCTTCTCCTCGGCGTGCAGCGTCCCCGCCATCGCATCGATCTGCGCCTGTGGACATGTCGTGGACGTGTCGCGGACGTGTCGCGGACGTGTCGCGGACGAGTCACGGACGTGTGCGCGAGCTCTGCCCGTCGCGTCGGGGTCAATGGGTAGGGAGGAAGGAAGGGAGGGAGGGAGAGGGAGGGAGGAGGGAGGGAGAGGGAGAGGAATGGAGAATGGGGAGCCAGCCCGGTGAGCCAGTCCCCCCCCCCCCACACCACCACCACCACCACCACCACCACCACCCCCGCGCGCCTGCAGCATCGGCGGGCAGTAGATCGCGTTGGCCGCCGTCCGCGCCGCCGTCAGCGCCGCCTTGCTCTTTGGCAGGTTGAGGATAGCAAAGTGGACCTGGCTCTCCACCTGCAGGGCGGCGGGCGGGCGCGGCTCACCCCCTCCCTCCTACTCACCGCTCCACTCAACACCTTCCTCCCTCCCAGCCTCCGTGCGTCTGTGCCTCCCTGCCCTGTCCACGTCTCCCGCCTCACCAGGTTGATCTCGACGAGCAGCGGCTTGTCGTCGAGGCGCTTGACCTCGCGCTGCAGCTCGGAGAGCAGGGCGAGCGCCTCCGTGTACTGCTTCGACTCGAGCAGCAGCGCCGCCAGCCGCGTCTGGATCCGCTGCCGCAGGAATGAGCGCTTCTCGGCGCGGCACCACTCAATGCTCTCGTTGCAGAGCCGCATCTGGAGCGCCATCGAGTCGGGGATCTTGGCGACCTCTTCGATGAGCGTCCGCACCACCTTGGCCGTCCGCGCCTTTGGTATGATTGCAAAGAAGGGGCGCAGCGACGAGATGAGTGCCGCGACCTTGTCGCCTTCGCGCTTGCGCGCGTACAGCTCTCCGAGCTTGTAGATGGCCTGCTCCTTGGCTTTGATAGCCTCGTCGCTGGTGTCCTCCGCCTGGATCGCCGACACGAGGGCCGCCTCTTCGGGATCCATGAAGCGGGCAAACGCCGCTGTGGGGCCAGACACACGCAGACAAGAATTTCAGGACGCCGGCTCTCCACACGCACGATTCACGACAGACAAGGCAGAAATTTTCCTAATGCACGCGGATACAACTTAGTATGTGTGTGTACGTACACACACGATTCATCTTGGATATGAGGTTGCCATCCAAGTGCTCAAAGTGCTTGCCGCCGACCGAGCGGCCCGCAGCAGCGCCACGAGGTACGAGGTAGAATATGTTGAAGCGGAAGGCAGCAGTAAGCAACCGACTCGTCTCTCTTGCTTGCCACAACACATCTTGACTTGTGTGTATCGCGCGCCTTGCGGCATGCGGGGGGGGGGGCATCACTCTCAGTAACGTCGTCGCGTGCCGCATTTTCTAGCAGGCGACCACGCGCGCGCATCACTCGCAGTAACCGTACTCATCCCCGTCGTCGTAGGCGAGTCCGGTGCACTGTTTTCCCACGAGGTCTTATTCCGTGATGCGCTTCTCGAATCAAGCTCTCATCTCTCACATTTTCCTCTCGACTAGGGGTCAATCTTTTGCCGCGTACGTGGGCCAGTGCGCAGTGGCCAAATTTGGACCATGATGGCCAAATTTGACCACGATGAGGCCAATTAAAAGGCCGGACTCGCGGTCACAGTCACACTCGTCCCAGGGTGGCACTTGCCGTAGCGCCGCAGCGCCTGGGTCGAAAGGCAGGTGCTTGGCGAGCTCCCTTGCCTCCGTCGATATCTAGCAGATATGCTTGCCACCCACGACGCCACCTATCTTCACGACCCCTCCCCGGTCTCCCGATCCAGTGCCTCGTACAGGTCCTCGATCGTCTCCGGGTGGAAGCCGCCAAAGGGCTCGCCGTGCTCATTGGGCAGCCGCTGCGCAAATTCGATGAAGAAGCCGTCCACTGGGCGTGTGAACCACTGCCGTAGCCCAGCACCATCGAGACTCGAGTAGCTCAGGATGGGCGTCATCATCTCGAATCCCTGCTGCTGCTGCTGTGCATAGAGTGAGGTAACGTCTGCGCGCGCGTCGACATTGAATGCGACGTGCTGCACCTGCTCCACTCCTCCTTCTGGGTTGACGGTGCGGTCAAGCGGTGCGTTTGCTCCCGCCGTTTTGACGGTGAGACCAATCATCTCATCCCACGGATACTCCTCGCAGGCTCCCGCCACAAGCGCGGTGTGGGAGGCTGCGTACCTGCTGGTGTACCACGTGCCGTGATGCTGAAAGCCGCGCGCCTCCCAACCCTCTATGAAGCGTTGCTTTTCCTCTGGGGTCGCCACGAAGGTGATGTGGTCGATCTTGGTGATGGCGGGCACATCCGCGCATCGTTTGATGCAGCGGGAAAGCACAGGCGCAACGCACAGGCCTGCGCGCTCGATTGTGCCCAAGAACCTCTTTCCAGCGGCCATGCTCGCTTTCCCGACGCCGGAAGGTGAACAGAATGGATGTGCTGGCTCCTTCACAGGTTCTCGAGGTTCTCGAGGTGGATATCCTTTGGCCGCGTTGGGTAGCGAGGATTGGTGTAACCCGAGCCACGGAGGCGTGTTTTCTGACGGCCGACCGTCAGTGCACGGAGTTGCCCCTTCTCCGACTGCCCCGGCTAGTTCCCGAGGTCGCGCGGGAGTGACCCCTGCGTCCCCCGAGACCTAGCGCGGGTGGGTTGGAGGGGGCTCGCCCCGCTCCTCCCCATCGGGCCGCATGAGCGGCCACGCCTCGCAGATTCGTTTCTCGCGCCTGGGTCAGGCGCGCGGGGCATCCCCCGGGTCGCTCGACCACGGCTGTGGAGCAAGCTCGTCGCGACCGTCGGCAAGGCGTGAGTCATCACCCCTTCGCCGAAGACGCGCGAGTCGTCCGAGATAGTTGCCGATGCAACTAGGGGGGAGCGTTAGAGACGACTCTCTTTCTCCCAACTGTGAACAGTCGTTATCTGTATATGCGCAGCTATTCATAGCCGCGCCTGTTGTTTGTGTGTGTATCCGCGCTCTTGGCGCGATTACGAGACTGACTAGTGTGTCGCACTAGTTGTACTTTTCGTAATAGTATTCCGCATTCATTGCGAGGGCGGACCACTCCTAGCGTGCAGACCGCGGGAGCTGGTGCCGCGGCCAGTGTAGACCTGGCCTGCGCTGTGACGCGCGCTCATCTTCAACGCATTCCGAGGTTAGCCTCGACGGCCGGGCTGGCCGCCGGGCTCGCTCAGGGCTCGCTCATGAGCACGGTCGAGCCCTCATACACCACAAAGGCTGACCTGCGTGGCACGCCGTGGCGAGAGGCGCTTGGCGTGCCCGAGAGCGAGATTGTCCGCTTTCACACCTCTTCGGGCTCGTCCGGCACACCCACCGTCACGGCCTATACGAAAGGCGACCTCAAAACTCTCGGACGCCTCACAGCACGCACACTGCTGGGGCTGCTCCCGCTGAAGCTGCCACTCTGGCGATGCTATAACGCCTTCGGATACGGCCTATTCACTGGCGGGCTGTCCTTTGAGGCCGCCGCAGCGCATGCGCGCACGCTGGATGGGCTGCCACCCGTGTGTGTCATCCCCACGTCGAACCTAAGTGGCTCCGCCAGCCTGGAAGCTGCCGTCGACGAGCATGCTCGACTGCTTCGACTGTTTGAACCGAACGTGCTATTCGGAACGCCCTCGCTCGCCTATGTGCTCTGGGAGAAAGGGCTGCTCGGATCGTTCAAAGCCATTATCACGGGAGGCGAGCCCAGCAGCTCTGCGCTGCGTGAGCTGCTGCGGGGCTGCGGGCAGAGAACAGTGATCGAGGCCTACGGCCTCAGCGAGGTCCTCGGACCCGGCGTTGCGCAGAGCTCCAGCGAGCGCGACGAGCTTTTCCTCAACGAGGATGCATTCGAGTGCGAGGTGCTCGACGAGGGCGGTGATGGCGTCGGAGAGCTTGTCATCTCCACACGCCTGCACGAGGCGACCCCGCGCCGCCGCTACCGCACGGGCGATGCAGTTCGCGTCGTTAAGGGCGGCGGTAGCAATGACGTGAAGTGCGATCGACCGGGCCGTGCGGTGACGGTGCTCGGAAGGCTGTCGTCAGACTTCTCCTCAACGTGTGGCGTGTACCTCTCGGAGATAGAAGAGGTGCTCGTCTCGCACGGCTATTCGCCGTGCTTCGAGCTTGCCGACGAGGAACGGTCGCTCGCTGTCGAGGCGCTTCGCCCTCCCGCCGGCGAATCGGCGCCACCGCTCTTGCAGCTGCCAGAGTGGCTGACAACGGCGGTCCAAGTGAGTGTCGTGGAGGCAGGTTCGATGCGGCGCTCCTTGGGCAAAAGCTGCCGGAGGCGCTAGGAGTGCAGTGCACCCCCAGTGCACAACGAGTTTGCGTCGCACCTCGACGACTTAGCGTCCGAGAATTACTTGCGTGGGTGGCTAAAGTTGCACGACAAGGTCAACCACGTCTGCAAGGCCTTCCCAAGCTACGCAGCCCACGCTAGCGCGTACGTGTGGTCGAGCGCTGGCTATACACCCACGGCAGATGCTGCCACCGGCTGCCCGCTGGTTCCAGCCTGCTCTAAATTATTAGTCCAGGCGCGCCGGCCAGCCGCGTCCTTGAGCTCTCTGGCGTACTCTTGTCGTGTTTTTTAGTTGAAAAGCCGATACCAAAATCAAATCTGTCCCGGCATCGCGTATCGCGAGTTCTCTAATGTCAGCAACAGTAGTCAGCTCGATGCTGGTGATGTGGTGAACATGAATTAAACTTTAAAACCCGTTACTCAATCTGCCTTATCTTTGCCCTGGCTGCTCTGGTTTTGGGGAATACTGCCCAGCCGCACCGCGCACGACGATAAGCATAGGGCAGCCCCATGCCTGCAAGCCTACAACGAGGCTATCGTAGCGGGCCGCGAGGTAGCTGGACAGCGTGGGGCATTCCTTTGAGCTGAACGTGTGGTTCCAAAGGTGCTGCATGCACGCGGAGCCCGCCGTGGACGTCGCGCTCAAAACAGAGGCAGCAAAGGCCCTGCCACTGCCGTGACGATGGAGGTTCCAGTGCAAACCGGGCTCGAGCTTACCCGCTTGCTTCGCATGCCACGTCGCCCTGTCCCGATTGGGGCACACGCCACTGGTCCGGCTGCTTCAACGAGTGGCGTGGCTGGTCCGCCAGCCGGGTGGCGAGCGGCCAGCCCACGGCGTGGTGCAGGAAGCCGTGCACCTCGAGCGGCATCGCAACGTGGAGTTTATCGCGCCACTTCACCCCCCTCTCGCGGGACAGGCTCGGGGTCATGCCACCGCCAGAAGCCAACACTGGCGTGGCACAAGCGCGAGTCGTGTTCAGCCAGCGCCGGCACCAAAGGGCGAGGGGCTCGACGTTGACGTGCGGAAGCCTCACCTGACCGGCGGCGAGGAGTTGGACAAGCCGCTCTCCCGACGAGGCGCCCGAAGCGCGGAGCAGCTGCAGGTAGTTGTATCGTACGCCCGGCGCAAAGCTCAGAGGCCGGTCCGGCGGGCGGGGGCACGCGAATCCACCGCGCTGCTCCAGCATCTCGTTGACTGCCGCTCGCTCTCGCTCGGGGGCGTGGAACGATACGAACCCCGTCAGCAGGTAGCGCGCGCCGGCCGTGATGTTGACGCCCTCGTGAAGGAATCGGCCCGAGAAGAGCATCGCGAAGCCCGCCGGGACTGTGAGCGGCTCGCCCGCAAGAGCAAACAGCGTACCGCCGCCGTCAAACTCTTCGGGGCGGTTGATCTGAACGATGAAGGACTGCGGCGAGGGGGTGGCGAGGGACGCTCATGCAGAGGTGCAACGGGCGTGCACAACAGGGGGCACGGAGGAGGGCAGTCGCTCACGAAGCACGTTCCGTCCGCATGTCTGCCGAGAGAAGCTTGCGCGCCGGGCTCGTACTTGACAAAGAATGCGTCGTGTACAAGCAGCTGCGACGGCTGGACGCCGAACACCGCCGCCAGCCCTGGCATCAGCCGAGATTGGAGGAGGGCGCTCACCCTCGCATCGACGAGCGGGAAGCGATACAATTGCTGATCGGTGGTCGGGTGGTGCCTGTGCCGGCCTCGGGACCACACAAAGTCCCGCCGCGTCACCAGCGAGAGGATCGTGGCGCGAAGCCGCTGCCCCAGCAGCGGCATCACACCCACCAGCCGCATCCGGTCGGGGCCAGAGTGCTCCGCGGATCCGGCCAGGCCCGCGGAGAGCAGGCCGACGCGCACGGAGCTGCCGTGCGCGGCGACGCTCCCTGCCGCTCGCCACAGGCCAGCCCTGGCGGCGGGACGGACGAACCGCTTCAGCTCTCTGGCCGGGTGGAAGTCGGGGAGGAGCGAGAGCGGCGGCAGCGATGCCACGCAGGTGGAGCTCCGCTGCCAGAGCAGCAGCGGGAGGGCGAGTGAGGTGAGCAGGAAAAGGAGTGAACGCGTGCGCCACATTCCAAGAGATGATACCCAAGGGCGGCCACGAGATGTTCTTTGGTTGCAGCTACAAGACGAAGGATGGAAAGGCGGGAGACTGCGAGGTGTGAGGTCACGACGCCCCCTCCCCTACCCATCGTGCCAAGCCGGCGCGAGTCCCTGCCTCCAGGTGGGCAGTCTGGTCTCGTCAGCGGACAAGGTGAAGACAAAGGAGAGCGACAAGTACACGATGTATCTCCTCCCCCCCCTGGGTTAGTTATGGCAGAGAAAGACCCGGTGGGTTTTGTTTCACCTCTCGGAGGATCAGGATGGATTTGTCGGGGGAAGCCACCCCCATCCGCTGGGCTCCAGAGGGGGGGGGGGGGGGGCGACGGGGGCAGCGGCAGGGGCGCAGTCGGCTGACACGGTCTTCGTTCAGCTGGGAGGGCGGCGGGCGGCGGCAGCAGCCGGGCGGCGGCGGCCGCGCACCTCAAAGGGGGTGATGGTCAGGGCGGGGAATTTGCGGACTGTGTCGGCGAGCGCGAGGTCTATCAAGTCGTACGGCTTCCCCTCCCAGACGTCCGTCAGCCGCCGCTGCCATTCCGTCAGCTCCGTGCGTAGCGAGGTGCGGTCTGCGCGCGGCTTGTCGACAATGTCGTCCGTCCGGCGGCACCAGGCGTAGACGGCCCACACGGCGCGGGCCTTGTCGGGCGGGAAGAGCCGCGTCCCCATGAAGAACGTTTTCGAGTAGTGCGCCGTGATCTCGCGGCACAGCTCATACGAGCGCTCGAGCTGCTCTTCTCTCCGCGCAAGCGCCGCCGGAGACATCGTCTTCTCGTCTAGCGCGAAGCGCTCCCCAGCGGTCAGCGGCAGCGGCGGCCCCTCCGCGTCGGTCGACGGCGCCGCGGCCCTCCCAGCCCCCGGCGTTGCTCCCGGAGCAACCGTCTGCACCATGCACAATGAGGCGCCACGCCCAGCGCCGCCACTGCCGCCCCGCTCGGCCAGCGCGACGCCATGGCGAGAGCGGCCAGACACCGCGCCCGCGACCCACGCTGAGTGCGCTCCGCCCGCCAGGAAGAGCAGCAGCGCTCCTCTGTACCTCTGGTCGCACATACTCTGCAATGGCCCTGCTCGCCGGGCGAGCTCCACAAAACACTCTCGAAGGGGCAAAAATAACGGGTAATACAACTAACTCTACGCGCCATCCTTTCTACTCGGCTAGTGCACCACACCCCTCTCCTTAAAATCCCTGTGTGGTGGCGGCGTGCCGTCCTCCCATCCCTCCCTTGGGTTGTCCGTTTTCTTTCTTTTTTCTACTCGCGTCACCATTGTGTCCTCGCCGCATCGTCGACGCCGCGCGCCGCTCGCAGCTGCCATGCCCTTCCCTGCCACGTATTATTAATTGCTCGAGGGACAAGTCCTCACCTAATTATTCATCGCCCGAGGTGATTATCAATGGGTCGAGGCTCTTCACACGTCGGTCCTTCACAGGTGACAAGTCCTCACCTAACTAATTGCTCGAGGCTATTCACACGTCGGCCCTTAACAGAGGACACGTCCTCACTTATGCCTTGTGACACGTGTCGCGGGCTGCGGCGTGCGGGGAATTCACGCCGGTCGACGACGATAGGCACCCGGCGGGGGCGAAACACGTCGCGCCGGTCGACGACGATAGGCACCCGGCGGGGGCGAAACACGTCGCGCCGGTCGACGACTGTCACGGACTATAAGGCACCTCCCGGGTCGGATGCTCGCTCTCCTGTGCGCGCTGCCAGCCTGGCGCGCTTTGCCGGCGCGCTCGCTCTGCGATGCCGCGAGAGCACAGCAGGAGAGGCTTGAGCCGTACGTGCGGGGTGTCATGCAGGGCGCCCAGATGGAGCACATTCGTGCCGCCGTGGGGCGTCTGGAATTGGTGCGTTCCCACCTATTGCCAAGCGCGTTCGGCCCCAACCACGTGCTCCACCACAAGCAGCGCGACCCAACCCGCGTGGTTCGCATGGATCTGCCAGCGGCGGTGCTAGAGACCATGCTGGCTGACGCACGTAGGGTGCTAGCCATCCAAGAGCGGGTCCGGCTGCTGTTTGGCGATGCAAACGTCTCTGGTTACACCTCGCTCTCCCTCGAGTTTGAGAACGCCGTGCTCTTCTACGAGGGCTGCCATGAGTTCTGGAGAGCCAATGAAGCGCGCGTGCGGCGTGAATTTCCCGAGCTGGCGAGCTGCCACTGCAACATTTTCACCGTGAGCCAAGGCAGCAGCGAGCCGTATGGCCTTCATCACGCCACTGCCCTGGGCCACCTCTTGCGTGGACTCCATCGGCGTGGGTGGCTGGCCCCCGAGTTGCACAAGTCCTTCCACACGGCGGTCACTACTGTCGACCACGGCGGGTTCCCGTTCACTGTGTTCGAGGAGCACATCCCAGAGAGCATTGATCCTCTTGCGGCCCTTCAGCAGCTGCGCGCGAACCACTCAGGCGCCATCGCGGGCGAGACAGAATCACTACTGCTCACCGCGGTCTCCGCGTTCAACAAATTCACGCGCTATCCTCTCATCCCCGAGTCTCGCCGGCGGACAATGATGGACTACGTCAACTCTGTCTTCTTCGGGACCCTCGCGTGTCACGGTGCCCGGGATCTCGGCAACGGCACATACTGGGAGCTCGAGCCGGGCGAGGCGCTGCACTTCAACAACTGGCGGTTGCACTCTGACCATGCCTTTGGTTCGCACCTGCAGCCGCGCGTGACCGCCGACTTGCGCTGCTTCTCGCCAATGGTCGTGCCGTGGCCGTTTCGGGACATGGGCGAGCTGAACGGCGCGTACCAGTGTGCGGAGGAGAACGAGATATCGCGCACGGGCGAATGTTTGCTTCGCCTCTTCAACTATGGCAGCGTCGGCGACTTTTATCGCACCGTCTTTGGCGAGAAGGTGCCGCAGCACTCGTTGAGCTACGTGGTGGGCTCGTTGTTTCTGCACTACTTTGCAGATCACGACTACAACCTGCTCGCTGCACCGGGCATGCGTCGCCACTACGAGCGAGTGAGACGAATGTACGACTCGAATTCGCTCAACTTTTCTGCCTTTTCGCAGTGCGCCGCCACCTTTGGCAGCGAGCGAGCTCGGTGCCCTCTGCCTCTCTCCTCACGTGCCATCGGAAAGATCAAGCTTGCGGTCGTGGTCTTGCGCTTGGTTCTTGGCGATGTTGTTGCGACCGCCGCGGTCCTGGTAAGCTGCTCTATCCCCATTCTTGGGTTTGTGAGCGCTTGGTCCAGCTGGCGCGCACGAGGGGCTCGGCGGGGAGGCAGTCTCGCAAAGAAGCGTGCCTGAACCTTTTCTGCCACGTGCTCATCCGTCATCACACCCTCGCCTCGCCACACCTCGCCGCCTCCCCCTCTCTGTCGCCCGCACCGCCGCCACCCTCCACCTCTCGCCCCCCCCCCCCACCTTCTTTATCTATTTCACCTCTCTTCCATCCTTTTTCATTATTATTTCTCAATTTACATTTATTTTATTATAAATCTTATTCCTTTTTTCTATTTTTCTCTCTACTACTCATAACTTTTCTAACTCTTCATCTCATTT